GGGAGCTGCCTCGGGTGTAATTAGTGCCAGGCCCTCGTCAGTCAGGGCTGTCACAGCCCTGCTCCATTTGCATGTACAGCTCAGTGCCTGGGGGAGTCGGGTTTATTTAAAGCCACCAGGACTTTGCTGGGTGGGTTCTGGATCAGCTGCTCCTGGAGAGTCAGAGGCCAGGGCAGGTGGGTGGGATTTTTCACCAGGTCAAGACAGAATGTACACATTTCCCTGATCCCTGACCTTTCCTCCTCCTCCTTCCCCACGTCTGCAGACACTGTGCCCTGTGCAGAACCAGATGGGAAAAGGTTCTCACTCACTACTGGCTGTTACACACCTTCCTTGCTCTCCAGGGAACCACAACCAGGAATTCACAGCCTGGATTAACAATTCCAGGTTTACATGCAAAAAAAAAAAAAAAAAAAGTAGTAAAACTACACCAGAAGGTGCTTTTCTTTGCACAAAACTCCTGAACAGGAAAACAAAACAGCTCCTCAAACACACTTTCCCCTTTTCCTTCTCTTCCACCTCCTCCCTGCTCCAAAAGGAGATGTTATTTCCCTCTATTGGAACGTCTCTGTTGCATTCTCAGAGGAGCCCAGTAAACAGCATCAAGAAGCATCTTCAGGACAGAAGGGATGTCAGTTTGACAGCTTTCCTATGGCCCATTGATTCCAAAATTTCAGAGGAAAATGACAGCACTGTGCTGTGCACATCTCACTTAGACACTGATTTCTGTGAAACAGAGAAGCCTTTGGAGAAAATCTGTCTCTGAGCCTCCTTCTCACACAGTCCTGGGCAGGGCTCAGGAACTGGTGGGTACCTCTGGCTAGCAGCACTCAGCAGGAAATATCAATCTGGCAAGAACTGCAGGCAAACTCCCTTGGGAAAGGGAGGAAGAGTCTGTTGTGAGGCTGCTGTGGAAGCTCTGCCATCAGGATGTTGGCACTGGTGGTTTTTGCTGCTCTTTCCCTGTTGGTGCACATCAAGTTCAGCCCCTAGCCAAGCAGTGTGACTGTGTCTGGAGCCCATAGGAAAGCTTGGCCCGTGAAAATTCACCCTGAACTCCAGATTTCATGTTAAATTTGTTATGTCTGGGGCAAAACCCGAGGGAATTCCGTGGTGTTTCATGCAGAAGCAAAGGCCAACTGCGTGTTTTGGCAGCCAGGGCCAGATTAGCTCTGAAAGGCCACAAATCCTTCCCAAACAGAAACCAGATGCTGCAGTGACACGAGTCACAGGGTGTGACACTCGCTCAGGATCAGGCCTGGGAGTATTTCATGCCTGAGGGTGTTTGCAAGCAGAATAAAAACCAAAAGGGGTGTGACACCTTTGCTATTTCTGAGAGAAAAAAACCAACTGAATCAGGGCATCTCTGACCAGGCACAGAACCAAGAGCAGAGGCAGAGCCAGGCTGCTGCTCACACACAACTGAGCTGTGGGTAAGAGCTTCTGCTGCAGCTTTTCACCCTCCACTTCCCTGTCTCTGGATGAGAGAGCAAACTCTGCTTCTGGAATACACATTTCACGTTTCAGACCTCGCCAGAGAGACAAACGGGTTTGATGCTGCCAGTTGTGAACATCCCACGTTTGCCAGGGGGATCTCGGGCTTGTTTGCCACAAATGTAATCAGATGATCAATCAGGAGGAGCCAGGGAGAAATACCAGCATTGCAAACAAACATTTTCCAGTTTGCTCCCTGAAAAAGAGCAGGGAGTTGACAGCAGAGAAGGGAAAACCTCTGGCTCTGCACTGCCAGCCCCTCTCCTGGCTCCCTTCTCCCAGCAGCCAGGCAGCAGATTCCCTCCAGCTGCTGGAAAGCTGCTTCCCAGTCAGGCTGGGCTTGAACAGGGCCCCCGAGGGAGGCTGGTGTGAGGGGGATCAGCCCCGGGCACAGCCCTGGTGCAGGGGAGGGGGAGCAGCAGGGATGCTCCGGGGATGCAGGACGGGGATCTGCTGCCTTCCTGGCGGCTCACACGAGGCTGTGACCTTGCTGCTCTGTCCTGCCCTTGGCCCCTCAGCAAATCCATAGCTGGATTAGCTCAGCCACACTAAAACTCTGCGTGGACTCGGGGTGGGAATTAGAGTGGCTTTGCTGCAGTTAATTCACAGGGAACGGGCTGCATTTGGGACCCTGCCCAGGTCCCCACCCCGGGTCTGGGCTGAAGGGAACACTCGGGGACAGTGCAGAGCCAGGGGCTTTTGTACCTTGTCCCTGTATTTGTGAGCCCTTCCCCCGGCAATGCAGACACCTGGGCAAACGCAGGGGAAAGCACTTGCTTTTCTAGTCGGCTCTTTAAGTGCCTCTTTCTTCTCTGCTGAGGAACTGTCAGCACTAAAATGAAAAGTGCTCCTTAAAGCAGGACTGAGAGGCTCACCAGGTGCCCTAATGGCCACCAAAATGCTTCCAAATGATGCCAGTTCTGGAGAAAATAAGATTATTTTTAGGGCTGAAAACTCAAACTCTCAAAAGTTAGGAATTAACAGAGTTTCCCACCTAATTGTAGTTTGTACCATGAGGATGTGTGCTGCACACAGCCTTTAATTGCAGGATCACACATTTTTAGTTTCTAGGTCTTGGTGTTTTAATTTCTGTATTTCATGCAAAATATTTGAAAATTTTTGCCCGTTTCATTTCCCCAAATGAAAACTTTTTTCCCCTAAAAATAGAAACAACAAAACTCCTCATTTGTACGACGGTGATCTTTTAACTTTCCTCATGATGACCAGCCACATATAAAGACAGAAAGCACTGCTGTAAAAGCAGCCCTATAGAAAGAAGGAAAGAAAAATTCTTGCAGAAGCTGCAGAAGGAAACAAAGGGAATTTTTCATCACTTTACCCAGGGCTTTCTACACTCTCCCTAATGCAAATAAAGCAAATCCCCAATGGATGGACACAAGAGATGAGCTGTAAATGGTTCCTCCAACTCCACCACTGAGTTGCACCAGCCTGAGAAAGGGCTGGTACTGCTCTTCCCTCCCCCTTGACTCCGGCCTTTCCTCCCTGGAGAATAATTTGGTTTGAGCTCTGCAGTCAGAGCTCAGGAGGAGCCAGGAGAGGCCCAAGGGGCTGACCCTGCACGTATCAAACCATCCCACTCCTTTCACACTTTCAAGATACTTTTTCCATCTCCCTGCCTTTTTTTTCCCCCCCCATCCTGCATTTTCTGCATGTTTCTGCCTCCTCGAGATAGTTTTGCGTTATCAAAGGGCAACAGGAGAAGAGAAAAAACTGTTGCTGTATTTAGCATTGATTTTTCCCCTTCACTCTGAGTCACAGAAGCTAACATTTAATTAATTTCTGACACTTTGACAGCTCCTAAGAAGACATTTGTAGAGCTATCAAGTGCCGCTGATAGCACTGTCAGACAGACACTTTTTGAATTATCAGCTATTAAGGACCCATATGCAACAAATTTCCAAGGATTATTATACAAATTGTTCTCTGAATGAGAAAAGCACACAAAAGCTCAGTGAAACATAAAGAAACCATTGTTCCCAGGTGAATTTGATATTTGCAAATGTTTTGCTATTTTGATCACTTACGTGGTTTTAATAAATCCAGTTCACTTTGTCTTTTATTAAGGAAATTAAGTGGCCTGGTTTTGGGGTGGCTGAGAACAGGGCCAGATTTCCCAGTCAGAGTGGTCTCTATGGAGATACAGCTTGGGAAACATGGAATGCTTTATCTCAGGGAGTGCCAAGCAGGGAATGAGGGAATTAGGTTGGAAAAGACCCCCAAGATCATCGAGTCCCGTTGTCAGCCCAGCACTCCCACCGTGGTCACCCCTAAACCACATCCTCAAGTGCCTCATCCTCGTGTTTCCTGACCACTTCCAGGGATGGGGACCCCACCCCTGCCCTGGACAGCCTGTGCCAATGCTTCACACCCTTCCTGGGAAAAGACTTTTCCTGATATCCAATCTAACCCCCCTGCAGCAAACTGAGTCCGTGTTGTCTCATCCTGTCACTTGCTCCTGGGAGAAATTCCCTTCTTCTCACAGGGACCTTCCCTTCTTGAAGGAAAGAAGGTCCCTTCTTGACCTCTCAAGCCAGAAACCCCAAAACCAAAGCAGCCAATAGCTGTGGTTTCTTTTGAACAGCTCCTGCCTTTACTCTTTGTTGGTGCTGATGTGGCAGAGGCAGCCCAGCCCAGCCCAGCCCAGCCAGCCCTGGCTGCAAAACTGCTGCTGTCAACCTCCATTATTGTCACTATTCGGGTCTTGGGGGTTAAAATTTATTTATTTCACTGCTGGAGGAAAAAAAAAAAAAAGGAAAAGCAAAGGGAAGTCAAAAAGCAACACAGCCCAGAGCCCCATGAAGCACACGGAAAACAAACACAGAGGGCCACGGCACATCTGCCCTGAGCTGTGCACACCCAGCAAGGAGCAGGGAATGGCAGGGGAGCCAAGGCAAGAATCCCAGGCACTGTGCCTGGATGGGCTGTAACACAGAGTGACACCTCAAAAATCACAGAATATTCCGAGCTGGGAGGGACCCACAAGGATCATCCAGACCAACCATCAGCCCTGCACAGGCCCCTCCCCAAGAGTCACCCCCTGTGCCCCAGAGGATCAGCCAAACCCTCCTGGAGCTCTGGCAGCCTTGGGGCTGTGCCCACTGCCCTGGGGAGCCTGGGCAGTGCCCAACCTAGCTCTGGGGAAGAACTTTTTGCTGAGATTCAACTGAGCTGCCTGAACAGCTCCCATTCCCTGGGTGCTGTCCCTGGTCCCCCCAGAGCAGAGCTCAGTCCCTGCCCCTCCTCTGCCCCTCCCAAGGGAGTTGCAGACTGCAGTGGGGTCTCCCCTCACTCACAAGCCTAATTCTACAACTGCCTTCTCATCACTGCAGCCCTTCAAAAACAGGGGGTTGATTGCTATTTTTTTTTTACTTGTTGCTGGACTCACTGATCTTTGTGGGTCCCTTCCAACTCAGCATGTTTGATGTGGTTCCATTTCTGTTTCTCGTGCTGACCTCTCGACTGTGTCTCCAACCTCTCCGTGCCAGGGCGGAGCCGGAGCCTGGCACTCTGACCTCCATGGATCCCCTAAACCTCTCCTGGTACGAGGGTGACATCGGTGACAGGAACTGGAGCAGGGCCCTGAACACCTCCCAGGCTGAGCAGAAGCCCCAGTACAACTACTATGCCATGCTGCTCACCCTGCTCATCTTCGTCATCGTCTTCGGCAACGTGCTGGTGTGCATGGCCGTGTCCCGGGAGCGATCCCTGCAGACCACCACCAACTACCTGATCGTCAGCCTGGCCGTGGCAGACCTGCTGCTGGCCACCCTGGTCATGCCCTGGGTGGTCTATCTGGAGGTAGGAGGCCTGGGGGTGCAGGGAGGGAGGGAAGGGTCTGGAAATCAGCTGCTGTGCAACCTCCCGGGTTTGCCGAGGGTTTCCCGTCTCTGGGTTTTTCCAGGAGATGGGTGTGAGAGCAGGTGGCAGGCTTAACAAACTCCACTGCTGCTCAGAGGGATGGACTGCAATCCAACTGCACCGTACAGGGAAGGTTTAGGTTGGACATTAGGAGGAAATTCCTTACAGGGAGAGGGATCGGACATTGGAATGGGCAGAGTCACCGTCCCTGGAGGTGTTTAGGAAGAACCTGGATGTGGCATCAGTGCCATGGTCTAGTAGGCAAGGTGGGGTTGGGTCAGAGGTTGGACTTGATGATCTCTGAGGTCTTTCCCAACCTGGTTGATTCTGGGATAAATGTGGCCTTTAAACAGAGGGGTCAAGAGTGAAAGGCCCCCAAAGTTGTTCTCAAATCCACACAAGAACAAATCTGCAACTGCACCAGGGGTGTCCCCTGAAACCACATCAGATGTGCTGAGTTGGAAGGGACACACAAGGATCAGCGAGTCCAGCAAGGAAAAAAAAAAAAAATAAAAATTAGCAATCAAAGCCCTGTTTCTGAAGGGCTGCAGTGCTGAGAAGGGAGCTGGAGAAGTGGAGGGTAAATCCAGAGCTCTCATGTCACGATACGGGAGAGAAAATCCCAAGGGAGCTGCTTTTCACCCTGCTGCACTTGGCACAGGGGGTTGGTACAAAACTAGGCTGAGTTTACAGTTAATTTTCAGGCACTCATTTCTGAGGGAAAAGGCTGACACAGAGAGCAGAGCAGGGGAAGAAGCCACTGTCAATGAGCCCATTAAGTACTAATGCAAAGCAAAACAAACCCACTGACATGACATAGGCTGTCGAGAAAGCACAATACTAATTATCACTCGAGTTAATTATTGTTTTCATGGCACTTAAAAAATGTAAAGCATCATGCATCTGCTAAAGCTTATTACCATGACCACAGGCTGGTTGGGAGTGCAGTCAGTGCCTCTGGGACTGGTTCTGCCCTTCCATTCTGTTCCTCTGTTGCCACAGCCCATTCTAAGCAGAGGTTTATCCTGTAGGAGCTCCTGCCCTCTCAGGCCCAGCTAGAAGAATCTCTCACACACTTTTTGTTTAAAAAGCCATAAATGATGCAAAGTGCTTTCCCCCTTCTGAGCTCACCTGCACATGAGGTTGGTCAGGAATCACAATTTTTTCTAAGCTTTGTGTCGCAAACTCGAGCAAGAACTAATGTAAAAATGAAATACTTAAAAAACTCCCCCCAAAAAACAGCCTTGATGCAAACAGATCTTCTACCTCCAAACTTGAGGTCTCTCCTCCATAAATGAGAGCACCAAGAGAATCTGATTTTGCAGAGGTTTATATCTGGCTGGAAACCTTTGCCTTTGGGCAAATTCTCATCAAAGTTACTGATGTAACTGTCTCTTAAGTGCTTTTTTAATCACTGAGTATTCATCTGTCACTCAGGCTTCAATGCAGTCATTCTCCCTTCTTTATGCTGCCTATGGTTATGTATATCAGAGCAGAAATAACTGAAGAATAGATATCTTATTCATTCTATTTTCAAATGCAGTAGGACTCTATTTTTATTAGAGGGAAATATACTTTTTTCATCACATGTCAAACACAGCAGTCCGAATAATTGCTATTAAACTTAATTGGCAAAGTTCAGTTTCAATAGCAAGAGAAGTGAAGAGAAAAAGGCTACTGGTGACTGGAAGCATTATCATCAGTTCTTTGTCTTTAGCACATCATGTAGAGTGTTAAAGAGTTTTCACTCTGAATTAAATTCATTTTGTTCACCAAAAAAAAAAAAAAATATATATATATATATAAAGGCGAGGAATGTCTGCCCTGACCTTAAACTGAGGAATGAAGGAAAGCTCCTGCTTGTCTACTGCTGACCTTTGCTGGGTATAATTGCAAAAAAAAACTCTAATGAAGAGCTGTAAGTACAGTTAGAGGTGCTTGGAACCAATGTTAACATATTTGCTTCCTCAATCTGCTTTGAGATGCTCCAGAGACCTGTTTAAGCCCTGCCCTGTTCCCTCTGACTTCCAGGAGACCTGTACTCCCTGATGTCCCTGCAACATGAGCCCAGGTCTGTGTTTGCCCTTTGGGCTGCCCAAACCAACACAGAGCAACAGGGTGGGACTGGGGAGGATGAAATCCCGCCAGCCACTGGGGGAATGTCCTGAGGAATGGTTTGGATGGAGCAGAGGAACCAGCCTTGGAACCAGCAGAGCTCCAACCACCCCCGAGCACCTCTGTCTGTGTGCAGAGCTCTCCCTTCAGACCCTGCCAACAGCCCAGCCCCAGGGAACTCTGTACCCCCTCCCTCTCTCTCTGCAGGTGGTTGGTGAGTGGAGGTTCAGTCGGATCCACTGTGATATCTTTGTGACCCTGGATGTCATGATGTGCACTGCCAGCATCCTCAACCTCTGTGCCATCAGCATAGACAGGTGAGGGCTCCGTGCCAGCAAGTGTCAAAACCCAGGGGAGCAAGTCACAGCCACCTTTACATGGTCTAATTTTACCTGTGACTCAGAGGCCTGAAAAAGGGGAGAGTGAGTGCTGTTGATGTCTTGAGCAATTTAGGGGATCTCTGTGGGCTTTGAGCGGGGATTCTGTCAGAAGACACAGAGACACCGACCTTGAGAACGGAAATTAAATTCTCTGTGTATGTTCACATTGGTTTGGTCCTTCTGGTTCTAGTCTGGAAGGATGGAACAGCCATCAGGGGGAAGGCAGCAGCTCAGAGTGGCAGGAAAATGCTGTGCTGAGCTGAGCCCAGCCTGCTGCCCCCCAAAGCAGGGACTGCGGGCACCCATGGCCTGGGAATGGGACTGTTCTTACCCTTCCCTGCTGGACCAGGCCCTCAGCCCCAGGGGCTGGGTGGGATTGCCAGTGTGGCAGCGCTGGCAGGCTGACAGGCTGGCTCTGTGCCCCCCAGGTACACAGCAGTGGCCATGCCCATGCTCTACAACACCCGCTACAGCTCCAAGCGCAGGGTCACCCTCATGATCGCCGTGGTCTGGGTGCTCTCCTTTGCCATCTCCTGCCCGCTCCTCTTTGGCCTCAACAACACAGGTGAGTGTTTTGCCACCTGCAGATGGCTGCTGGCACCTTCCTGGCTTTGCTGGGTCCCCAGGGAGTCTTTGCTACCAGCCAGGAGGGGATAGGGGGTCAGGGTTTGGGTGTATCGGGGTGTATCTGCCCCTGTTTAAGGTGTTTTCTGCCAGTGTCCTCCCCCTTGTCAGCTGCTCCTGGGTCTGATTCATCTCGTGCTGTTTCAGCCCAGTGTTTTAGGCTCACCAGAACTGAGGTTACCTGGAAGTTTACACAACACCAGACAGCATTTACACAACATCTGTCCACTACAAATTCAACACCCCTCCTGTTAAAACATGCAAAAAAGGAAAGCCATGGGACAAAACCTTCACAGAGACAGGAGAAGAAAGGACTGGCAGTTCAGCCATCAGTCTCCTGGGAAGCCTGGGTTGGATACAGGACAGATGCAGTGGCAGGGAAGGCGGGAAGCAGCTCCGAGCAGCAGAGAGAACTATCCTGAACCCCTTTGTGTTCCAGATGCCAACGAGTGCATCATTGCCAACCCTGCCTTCGTGGTGTACTCCTCCATCGTGTCCTTCTACGTGCCCTTCATCGTCACCCTGCTGGTCTATGTCCAGATCTACCTCGTGCTGCGGCGCCGCAGGAAGCGCGTCACCACCAAGCGCAGCAGCCACGTCCTGGACTCGGACACACAGGCCCCCCTGAAGGTAACTGGCCCTGGGCCCTGCCCCCAGCACTCCACACACCCCTTCCCCTCCCTGCTCCACTCCCCAGAGCACCTCCTCCCGTCCCCACATGTCCCTGGCTGGACCGGGTGAAACGCTGGGTCGCAAAGGTGGGTGCTGTGTCCTGTGTCCTGTGCCAGGCTGCCGTGCCAGGCTGCCGTGCCAGCTGCACACTCTGGGTTCCCAGGTGCTTCAAGGGCTCCCTGGATCCCAGGGAGATGTTCCAGCAGCAGATCTGCTCCAGGAGCTGCTGCATTAACCAGAGGGCATCTCCTGTGGCTCTGCTGAGCTGGGGTTGGGGTACCCCAGGAATACAGGCTACACTGTCTGAGCCAGAGCTGCTGTTGGGGGGAAGAATCACAGAATGAAGGGGTGGTTTGGTGGGAAGGGACCTTAAAGATCCTCTTGTTCCACCCCCTGCCATGGGCAGGGACACCTCCCACTAGCCCAGGTTGCTCCAAGCCCCATCCAACTTGGCCTTGGACACTTCCAGGGATGGGGCAGCCACAGCTTCTCTGGGCAACCTGTGCCAGGGCCTCCCCACCCTCACAGGGAAGGATTTCATCATAATATCTCATCTGAACCTGCCCTCCTTCAGTTTAAAGCCATTCCCCCTTGTCCTATCACTCTTTGTGAAAAGCCCCTCTCCAGCTTCCTCGTGACCCCCCTTTAGGTGCCAGAAGGTCTCCCCAGGGTTCAGTGGAAATGGTTTGTGTGGTTGGGGTGCAAACCCCATCACTGGTCCCGGCACCTCTGCAGGGAAACAGCCTTTGCCAGCACCAGATGTGTGAGTGGAGCCCAGCTGAGCGGGCTGGGTGTCAAAGAGCTCTTAGAAACACCGCTCTGGCAGCACATGCAAAACAGACAGAGGCAAAGTGCAGCCCCAGAGGCACCACCTCCAAACTGTGCTGCCTCAGGGCCACTGCCATGCCGAGGAGAGGAGACAGGGACAGACAAACACCAGCAGATCTCTGAGGTTTCCTGCCTTTGGGGAAAAGCCCAAGGGACAGTCCCCCCCATCACTGCTTCTCCAGAGCAGTTTCCCACCATCCTCACGCTGATTAATTCCTGCCTCGTGCCCTGTGTTTGTATTTCCACGTGCCTCCCTTACCAGCTCCCCTCCCCAACCCCTCTGTGCCTGTGTAACCTCTGAGCTGGTCCTTGCCCCTTAGGACAAATGCACTCATCCAGAAGACGTCAAGCTCTGCACAGTTATTGTGAAGTCCAATGGGAGCTTCCAAGTTAATAAGCGCAAAGTGGTGAGTGTTACAGAGAAGTGGCAGCTTTTCAGAGCATTTAGCCTTCCCCCTCTCACCCCTCAGGACACACAGTTAATTTATGCAGGGTGGGAGAAAAATAAACTAACAACAAAAGGTTGCCATTCGATCTCACAATTTAAATATTCTTCCCATTCCTTGGAGTGAAGCAGGGGGTTTAAGAGGATAGAGTTCAAAAAGCCAGACTAATCTCACCTAAAGATCAGCTCTAAAAGCCACAGCATTTGAACATTTCATGTCTTTGATTTCCTTCTCCTCTCTGTTACTTAAATCTTGGCCTGCATTGGCTTTGTTGGGTTTTGCTTGTTGGTTTAATTTTTATTTACTTGCGTTCTGAAAACCTAAATAAAAATCTGTGGGGAGTGGAGAAAGCATCTCTCTCATTTCTGAGCCTCTCTGTGCAATAAAGGAGAATCCTTCAGTGAAGTTCTGTCACTCCTATCTACCCAAAATATCTGTAAACATTTCACAGCCCTTTCTCCAGGCATCACGTAGGGAGGGAGAAGAGGGATTGATTGTTCTCCAGCATCATCCAGCTTCACTCTGTAAGGAATGTTCACTGCTCCTCTCTGTATATTTATCTGCCTTTCTGTTGTGGACATTTGATTCTTGTCCAGGAGGCAGAGAGCCACATGGAGGAGATGGAAATGGAGATGGTGTCCAGCACCAGCCCCCCTGAGAAAACCACCTTCAAACCCACAGCACCCAGTAACCGCCAGCTGGTCGTGCCAGTTGCCCCCAACAGGGGCAACAACTCCACCCTGCAGACATCCCTGAACAGCCCTGGGAGAGTGGAGAAGAATGGCCATGCCAAAGAAACCCACCACACAGCCAAGGTCTTCGAGATCCACTCCCTGCCCAACGGCAAGACGAGGAACTTCCTCAAGGCTGTGACCAGGAGGAAACTGTCCCAGCAGAAGGAGAAAAAGGCCACCCAGATGCTGGCCATCGTCCTTGGTGAGTGCCCTGCTGCTCCTGCAGAAATGCAGCACCTGCCCAGGCCTAGGGCCAGACTGGATGGCCAGCAGAGCCTATTCCAGCCCTCCACAGAAATAATTTCACTTGCTCTGTGGGCAGCAGGTGCCCATGGGAAGGGTCCCTCCTGCCCAGCCAGGGGCAGCTGGCAGTGCAGTACAAGGGGTTCATAAAGCTCTGTGAGGTGTCCCAAAGCACAGCTGGGTGCAGGGGCATAGCCCAGCAAGGAACTGGCACCCCAGAGGCCAGAGTTTCTCATGCATCTGCTCTAATTACACAAGCAGAGAAGTTCTTTAGTACCTAGGTAGAACACAGACCGAGACCTAACACGCAAACAGCAGCTTATTCCTCAGGGAAACATTCCTCCTTTATACCCAAAAGAACCTCGCTGTTCTCGGCCTCGGAAACCCGTCCAGCTTTCAGCACTCACAGCCTGTCTCTCTCTCTCCTTTCCCTCCCCCCCAGGTGTTTTCATCATCTGCTGGCTCCCCTTCTTCATCACCCACATCCTGAACATGCACTGCGATTGCAGCATCCCCCCGGCCATGTACAGCGCCTTCACATGGCTGGGCTACGTCAACAGCGCTGTCAACCCCATTATCTACACCACCTTCAACGTCGAGTTCCGCAAGGCTTTCATGAAGATCCTCCACTGCTAAAAGTCAAAAAAAAAAAAAAAAAACAAAAACAGCAGCAGTGTTTTTAAGGGGGGGAAAAAAACAAAAAAAAAAAAACCAAAAGGAAAAAATAAAAAGGAAAAAACCCCCCCCCCCCGCCAATTCACGCACACCGAGGGGCGGCCACGGCTCGTGTGCCCGGCGTGAGGCCCCCGGGGTGACAGCAGTGCCATGCCCACGCCTCACTGGGGGTGCAGGGGGAGGTTCCCTCGTCCCTCGGGGTGACCTTTGGGACAGCAGTCCCACCAGGGCACTTTTCAGAGCTGCCCTCGCACTGCGCTCCGAGCGGGAGCCGAGGCCACGCTCGCCTGATTGCTGCCCGTGGCCATCCAGCCTCGGGGGCATTGGACACAGACAGTCTCAGAGCCACGGGGAGGTAGTGGTGGGTCTCTCCACTCTCACCAAAGACAAGACCATCTTTTCCGCTTCGCCACAGGAGCCAGACCCAGGCAGAGCTCGCAGGAGCTCCACGCAGCAGCTTTGCCTTCGCCTCGAGCCGACCTACCCAGTGTCAAACTGCTGGAGCCTTCAGAAAATAACCCACCAACACTTTGAGAGGTCCCCAAGCGGGTCAAGAAGGTTCTGCCACCCACAGACCCAACCCTGCAGCAGTGTGGGCCTCCAAGCCGTGGGCAGAAGGAAGAAGGAGGCGTCAGTCTCATGTCTGGCCACTACAGAGGTGTAAATATGAATAAACAGGAGGAACTATGGGAGCCTAAGCCAAGAAAAAAAAAAAGGAGATGGAGAGAGAAACTCGAGAAGTGGTAGCTTGTCTTGCATGGTGTACATCAAACAGGACACCCTCATCTCTCATCAGCAGTGATTTCTGCCCACCAGCACCTCCTATCCAGTCTCTCAGCAGGATTCCCAGCCCGGGGCAGTGGTGCCGTGGGGAATGTAGACACCCCGGGACAGGGTGCCCCGGGAGGCACCTGCAGCCCTGACCCCCTCAGGTGGGAGCTTGAACAAGTCAGCCAGGTCAGGTCTGGCTCTTCTCACCTCAATCAGGGTGCCACAGAGCCCAGCACCACCTCGGGTCTGATTTGCCTCAGTCTCTCAGCAGAGAGTGCAGAATAACGTTGTGCCTAATTTAAATCAACACTGAAGGAGATAAAACTGTGTGCTTTGGAAAAAGCCAGAATAAAAACCCAAGAAAGCCCCTACCTGGACCAGCTCCTGTGTCCAAGCTGGACTCTGGAAAAGGTCTGGATGTTCCCAGCATCCCTTACTCTCTGATATCTATTTTTCCATGGATTATAGGAATTGAAAACCTATAACAGCATAATTCCACCCCGCTGAGTCTGGCATTGCCAAATCCACACTGCACTTACTAATTGTACTCAGTTCACAGTATGTTTTGCAATATCTCTGTAAATAAACCATAGCAAGACGAATAAAAGGACACAGAAATAGGCCTGGCTAGAAATTCCTGTAGGCTCTGGAGCAGCAGCACATTGCAATAGCCATAATGCAGAGGCAGACTCCCTACCTGCTGTTTTCTGAAGATGCTAAAACACAACCCAGAGAGCAATATAGTCCCCTTTCTCTCTATGCAGTTTGTGGAATATTCACATAGTTTCTGCTTCAGAATAGGTAAAGTTCACTGCCAAGGGTTTCTCTAATTCCCTGGTTTTCCTGTGTTGCTGACAAAGCATTTCCCTGGGCTGGCAGGGTGTGTTCCAGCTCTGTAGCAGGGAGAGATTATGTCAAGCAGCTACCACACATAATCTCAGCTGTTTTCTGCAACTGAAACAGCAGTCCCACCTGAATCCAAAAGGTTCCCATTCTAACCCTGGTGTTCCTGGAAGGGGCTGATATCCAGTGGTTTTAATGTTTAGCCCACAAGCTTGTTTAACATTTGGACCTGGCTCTTCAGGGTCTGTTCATAGCTCTAAACTGGAAACACTGACTCAAGATCTCAGGCACACATTGGCTGTTCTTTTTTCCCCCCAGTTTTAACCAAGCAAGTTCACTCAGTGGTGGGAATCAACTCAGGCTGATATCACTTATTTCATTCACAGAATGACATAAAGTCAGTAGGTTTTTGGGTAGAAAAATAGTAACAAGTTACTGTTCTATTTTCTAACATATTTACAAGCAGAAAGATGCCATTTGTTGTGGTGAATTAACAGGTGGGGAGCTGAATCAAAATAGAAAATAATATGCAGACAGACAGAAAAAAGCTTTAAAGCATTTGGAAGTTGCCATAGGTGATATTTGCCCTGCATTAAACCTGGTGTGAGCCTTCAGAATAAGGAATGTGAATATTATCTTAACTTTGTGCCATAATTTTCCTTGGTGTTCAGTGTTAACCCAGGGTAAAATCATCATCTCCAGTACTGTGCACTTTGTTCCAAGGTTTAGTTTCTGAAAGCAGATGCAGAACCTCATAGCTCAACTCACCTCAACCACTACATGAAAAACTCTTCCAAAACACTGTGGAGGATAAAAAGCTGGTGAAAAAGGGCCAATGTCCTCCATGTGTGTGCCAGCTCGGACCAGGAAACCCAGGGGTCATTTCCTAGAGCTTAAAGTGTCTGTGAGGAATTCCCTGCAGCCCACCCTTCAGCCCAGGGACATCCCAGCACTCCAGGCTCAAAGGTATCTCCTGGGAAAACCTTGGCCTTGGAATGGTGGCAATGCCATATCTGTTCACCTCTGCAGGTTTTCCTTTCCCATCTACACTTCCACCCAACAAACTAAAGCACTTTCCACCCCTGAACTGAGCCTTCGGGACTCTTTCCGAGAGAGGACCAAACCACACCATCACCTCTGGCTTCACAGAGAATCAACAGAATAAACCAATGCCAAGAGCAAGGACAGGCTCTGCCAGCTGCTTGCACAGCACCTGACACAAGGACAGCCAGCCCGTGGCTGGGATGGAGGATGTTTGTAGAAACCTCTAAGGAACCATCAGAATTCAGCTGCACCGGGAAGGACCCCGAGGCCTCTTGCCCACAGACCTGGACCTGGCAAACACAGACCTCACTGCTCCTTCCACTCTGGAGTGAAACACTGCTTTCCCAAAGACTCCTGATGGCAGGACATGCTGGGGATGGATCTGGTTTTTAAAACACACCCACGAGAAGGTTTCGTTTCTTTGTCCCCTGCAGAACTTCAGCCCCTTTGCCACAGCCCCCGTTTTGTGATTCCTTATTTATAACTGAAGCTTTAGTTCTGCTTACTGGAGTCTTCCCGTCCCTGCTTTTCCTCCCTGTGATTCCCAGCTTGCTGAAAGCCCGGGAGGGGGGCTCTTGGCACCCCCAAACAGGTTTGAATTAAAAGCCAGTGAATTCTGCCTGCACTGTATTTGCCGCTTGCCTGCTCGCTCCCACTACACCGTTTATCTTCCTGGCTGAAGAGTAAATTAACTACAGTAGGTCTGACCAGCTTATTAAATCCTGCTGGAAAAACAAACAAAAACAAACACACAAAACAAAAAAAAAGGAAAACAGGAAAAATAAAGGCACTACCTCCGTGGTGAACATGTGCAGTGCAAACAGGAATGTAAAAATGCCCGTCCCAGGTACGTGCGACACCAACAAATGTCTCCATGCAGCACTGTCATTAAACAGAGACTTGCACAAGCCACCCTGCTGTTACATGGTTGTTTTGTTCTGTTTAACACCAGCAGTGTGAGGGGTCACACAGGACAAACACCAACGGGAACATCCACCCTCAGAGCAGAGCTTGGCTTTTTTGGGGGCTTGTTTCTCGGAATAGCTGCGGTTTTTTCCCTTTTCTCCCTTATCCCAGTCTATCTGTAGGAATCCTGGTGTTTGTCCAGCCTGAAGCTCCGAGGATCAGACACGGCAGAGGAAGGGGGAGGAAAAACACAGGCAGAAACAAACTGGTCTTAAAATTTCTCTGTCTCTCTTCTCCTCTGGGCAGAAGTGGGCTGGGGAGGGTTGGAGGAGGGAGGGATGGGAAGCAGGGAAATGCCCAGCCCAGAGCTGGGTTGTGCTGGTCCTTGTGGCATCACAGCACTGCCTTATCCCAAGTCACAGGGAGCTTTTCCCCCTCTCTCTTTCACTTGAATTTATGCTGGAGAACGTCATTGTTTCATTCAGGAATATTTATATTTATGTTGCACCTACTGTGGCACTGTTTTCTCAAGCTACCCACTGAAATATCTGGTGTTTTTGCAAGTGAACTTCAGCCTGGCTTAGTGAGCACTTTTGTCTAAAGATTACTTTCTTTATACAAAAAAGAGTAATAATAAAAAAAAAGAAAATCCTTTCCACTCCTAGGAAAGAAAATTATCTATTTCCAAGAAGTAACGAACTAAAATTTCAGTTTTATGGTATTTTGGGTCCTTGGCATGAACCAAAGTTTTCAATACTTGTTTTCAACCAACACAGGACAAAGATAATCCCTGCCCTGAAGTCCTCAGTTTATACAGAAACCAGAATCTCCAGAGCTACTGAGTACAAATGAGGTTTAATTTTCCTTGTTGGATGATTCAACTCAATGCCACCATGAGGAAAAATTAGGGGCTCAAGCGACACCCCCCCCAACACAACAGAATAAATGATATTCTAAGATGAAACAGGACACACACCAGTTGTTTTCAGCCTGTCTGGCCTCAGCCTGGCAGGATCAAAGGCAGCTCCTCTGACTTCACCCTTGCAGCCAGATTTTATTTCTGAGGCTGGGGACTGCAAAACACCATTCACACCACCCAAAAGAGAGAAAACAGCACGACCTGCCCATCTCCTGGGGCATCTGAGTGAGTCTTACAACTTCAGGTCAGGCCTGACAGATCCATGGATGTGCTTTGTTCTGCACATCCAGAAAAAAAACAACAAAAAAACCACCACCAACAAAAAAATTAAACCAGTTACACTTGTTAAATTAACTCCCTCTCTTTAATCAAAGCTTCTTTTAATAACCTAAACTGCTCCCCCAAGTCTTTGACGATACCAGACTGTCTGCTTCCTAAATGGCTTTTGACTCATAAATAACAACTTTCTCCACCAAAG